GGTTGTTAACAGCTTGAAGGGGTGTAATCTCATGTCCTACACCCTTTGCCACAGTCCACCTTGCGAAGACTTCCTCCACAATCTCAATAAGTGTGTGAGTTAGGTCTGCCTCATAATTCTCATAGGCTTGGATAACTGTCGCCCTATGGTTTAGAACAACCCTACTAGCCGTTGTCTTGTTAGCGGTCTCTACAATTCTAACCATGTCTGTCATATAAGTCAAGTCCAATTATGCTTAATATCTTATTAATGATCAGACTTTGTCTTTTATGCTCGCATAATTCATGATAAAGTAAAATGTTATAATTCTATCGAAGTTGACTAAAAGTGTGCGAGAAAATAATTCATAAATGGAAGCAAATATATTTGTCATCATGCTCATAATTTATGCTAGAATATAGCATTTCATTTCATTTCAAACATTTCTTGAATTAAATATGAGAATGTATATGCTCAAAGTAAACATTTTACGTACTTTCAGTCCGTCAGATGGTAGTTGATTGGCGAACGTTAGGTGCCAAGAACCTTGTTCAAATTCATTTTTGTTAACTAGCTGACCAGTAGACACGATGTCTTTGAACTGTTCTGCCATTTATGGAAATGATGATATACTTTACATGGGATTCTTCTTAACACATTTAAATTCTCATTATTATGTTTGTTTTAGTCATGAACATACACCTGGTTCTATGAGAGTTCACAAGAATTTTTCCCCCCACAATTCCCTTAGAAGCTGTCCCACTTCTCTCTCACATAGGTGATTTCTTATTGCAAGTAACCCGCATTATTTGGCTTGAATTTCGACGAATAAGAATCATTAAAAGCATATTGCTTATCCTTCATCTTTACGGGCATCACTGTTGTATCATAGGAATAGACAAGAATTAACATCCCCCACAGTTATTCTATTAAGTCTTTACAATTAGAATGTCCCTTTGAACCTAGATCTGGAGACCTCCAGTCAACTAGGTTGGGTTTCCTTTATTAGCCTATCCGTTCAAGGCCTTAAGTCTCATTCCTTTCGATGCTTTTTCAACTAACTCTCTATTCAACCGTTTGGTTGTTATCTTTTGACTTTACGTAGTCAATAGCGATAACTCCAGTTGAGAATAGTTGCCTTATGGTATTGTGCCTACGACGTATATGTCTAGACTTACCATTATACATGTTACTCTGTGCCCTTCCAATTGCTGATTGACTATCACAATATACGCAAATTGCTAGCACGGGTTTTGATCATCTTGGAATATCTTCTAAGAAGTTGTGTAACCACTCAGCCTTTTCACCACATTTATCTAGAGCTATAAACTCAGATTCCATTGTAGATCTGGCTATAATAGTTTACTTAGAGGATTTCCAGATATGGCTGTTCCTCCCAATGTGAACACAAATTCACTAGTGGACTTTGAGTCTTTTATATCAGATATCCAATTAGTATCACTATATCCTTCAATAACTGCAGGATATTTGGTATAGTGTAGTCCAAAATTACGAGTATATCTGAATTCAGCAAATGATGCTTTAAACTCACCACCTCTATCGCTTCTCAATACCTTAATTTTCTTGTTAATTTTATTTTCAACTTCATTCTTATAGAGAATAAATTTTTCTATCGCTTCATCCTTACTTTTTAGCAAATATACATAACAATATTTTGTTCTATCATCGACAAAAGTAATGAAGTACTTGTTGCCACCTCTTGTTTGTACAAATTTTAAATCACATATGTCACCGTGAATTAAATCAAGTGGTTCTGTATTTCGTTCAATTGATTTAAATGAAGACCTTGTCAATTTCTCTCAACGCAAGTTTCGCACTTATGTTTGTAATCAATATGAAACGCGGGTATGCATTTCAAGTTAACTAGTTTACGTAAAGTATCGTAGTTAACATGTCCTAGTCTACCATGCCACACATTGGAAGACTCAAGCAAGTAAGTTGAAGAATTTACTTTATTCATTTTTGGTTTAACAACCATTACATTTAGTTTAAACATACCATCAGAAACATAGCCTTTTCCGACAAATATTCTACTTTTTGACAAAATAACTTTGTATGAGTCAAATACAATACGAAAACCATGCTTATTTAAAAGCGACCCAGACACAAGATTCTTGCGGATATCCGGCACATATAGCACATTGTTAAGAGTCAACTCTTTTTCCGAAATCATCTTTAGAACCACCTTTCCTTGACCCTTGATTTCAGAAGTTGCTGAATTTCTAATAAACAATTTCTCTCCATTCTCAATTACTTCGAAAGTCGTAAATAGTTCTTTATCATAACACACATACCTCGTAGCTCTGGTGTCAATCACCGCTCTTTTAGGTTTGAACCCACCATATTCACTTCAAAAATGATGACTACAAGATTCATTTCTGACACATCATGTGCAATATAGTCAACTACATTTGCTTTTTTCTTCTTATTTGGCAATCTGCATTCTGAAAGTTTGTGACCCACTTTATCACAATGGAAGTATTTTCCTTGAAACTTCTTTTTAGAAATTCCACATTTAAGTCCTAGTTTGGTCATTTTGCCACTAGATGACCCAGGCTTATTTTTGTAGGTCTTACTGCTTTGACCATGCTCCACAACATTAGCTTTAACAACACCAAGATTGAACCCCTTCTTCTCGGAACTCTTGTTGTCTTCTTCAATTCAAAGTCTAGCAATCAATTCTTCTACGTTCATTTCCTTATACATTTGTGCTTTAAATAATTCTTGAAATCTTTCCATTTATGGGGCAATTTTTCAATAATTGCAGCCACTTGGAAAGTTTTACTCAATATCATCCCTTCGGCATGAATTTCGTGAAGAATCACTTGGAGTTTGCACTTGACTGATTTCGATTTTGGAGTCCACCATCTTTTAATACAAGAATTGGCCAACAATAAACTTATTTGCCCCGGTATCCTCGGTCTTATATTTTCGATCCAATGACTCACACAGCTCTTTAGCAATTTTCATAGTACTATACACATTGTATAGCGAATCGGCTAAACTGTTCATGATGTAGTTTCGGCACAAAATTTTTTGAATGTTTCCACACATAAGCGCACTAACAGCTTGAACATCTCCCACACCATCTTGGAGTTTTGGAACACTTTCATTCAAAAATCTAGCAAGATTCAAGGTGGTCAGATAAAATAACATTTTACGCTGCCACCTATTGAAATTCAAGCCATTGAATTTCTTCGGTGTTTCACTATGATTAATCGAAATAGTAATGGTATGGCTAGTTGTTTGATTCACCACATGCCTTAGCAGTCTAGCCACAGTCTGAGCCACAACAGAATTTGACCCTTAAGCCATAGCAGAGCCCATGGCCTGATTTTCATTACGACAACTTGGGTTACATCCATATTGGTTGAATCAGTTGCCATTTCTGAAAAGTCACGATACATTATCAAGTATTAACGTGTTTTACCTTTACATATAATTGTGAAACGTCTAAGCACTTAGATTGAACATTTTGACACGCATTGCTTGACGGTACTTCAACTTGTGTTTCGATTTTTTTGAGGCAACTTTTTGTGGGGTTTTACAAAATCATTCTTTATGGCACGTTGTCAATTGTGTGCAAATATCTTGGTCTTAAACTTTGTGGCATCAAATATACTTATGTGTAATAATCACTATGAACACTAAAATCAATTTGTTAACAATAAACATGATTTGTTTATGATAATCAAAACGAGAAGTCAATCATAGATCAACAATAAGAAAATTTGAATGTATTGACTATGTTATCAATTGAGAAAAAAATAATTGAATATTTAGATTATTCAAATTTGATTAATATTTTTGTTTCTAAAACCTTTAGACGAATAGTATTTAACTGATCGTTTGTATTATTGTTGACTTTGTTATTTGATTATAATATAAATCTTTTGTACATTATATTTTGTTGATTATTTTATTGTTAAGTTTCAAGATAACAATTGGTTTCATAATATAATTATAGAATCATAGATTTTGCATGCTACTACAATTTTGGGGGACCTAATTTAGAAAGTTCGTCTCAGATCACGAAAATTACAGGATCGACAATGGCTATAAGTTAGTGTCTCGAGCCAATATATTGAGGAAAAAACAGATATGACAAATCTAGTAAACTACTTAAAGGAGTCGCATATAATGGATGAATAATCACTTGGAGTTGAAGGACCATATTTATGGTCTTCATCTCTCCATACCTTTAACATTTTGCATATTGAGATAAACTCAATACATTTATAAAATAAATGAATTCTTCATATAAAAGTAACAATTCTTATTGATTTCATTAAGCTGAACATGCCATTGTGAAATTACATGCGAAAACTATTTCAAGACAACAAGAATAAGCCCTTGTTTGATTTCCATTATTTTCAAAATATATTTTCCTCTATCTTTATTTCAATTACATATTCTTCAATAAAAGAATATTACATACAAATTCAATTTTTTTTTTTTAACCACACATTCTCCAATTATCTACTATTTCAAAATACATTTTTATTATAAAATAGGAAACAAATAGGTCAAGTCAAAAAATTAAACTTGTTTCAATTTGTGGGGGTTAATTCCTAACTTTTGGAAACTCACATTGAAATGTACAAATAAACAAAAAAATAAAGGAAAAATTGCAGCCACGGTATCAAATCTTTCACATTTTTGTAGATTTTACCCAAACATTTGATTTGTGCCACTCACGGTACCAAACCTTCAAAAAATTCACAGGTCAAGTCGGAATGGATGGAAACCTTTTAGTTTGACTGTTAATTGACTCCACAAAAGACAAAATGGTAACTTCATAATTTTAACATGAAAAAAAGAAAATAAAACGCTATTATCTTTTCCAACTAACCACCTCACCTTACTTCATAATTATAAAACATATATATTCATTTTCCACTCTCAACTAACAACAAAATTGAAATCCGTTTCTCTTCAAATTTTTCGATCTCTGAAATCTATTTCTTCTTTATTTTTTCTGTCTAGAATTAACCTATTGGATGGCAAATCCAGCAGAAGTTTCAGCAATTGGACAAATTAGAATGCATCTTCTTGGAGAGTTTTATCCAACAGAGCTTTCATTTACTACTGAGGTCGAAAGAACTAGTAGCGTAAATTCATCATTTTCAAGCTCTCACTCTGAGTATTCAGTTTCGATTTCTGATTATTTCATGGATCTTGAGCAGAATGAATTTGATTTTAGCGACTTTTCAAGTCCCGAGTCTGTAGATTTGGGGCAAAATCAATTAAATCGACCAATTATAGACCTCACTACACCAAAGGTGCAAACATTAACAGAGAGGAAGCCTTCTTTGAAGATTGAATTGACAGTGGTGAAGAAAGTCAACATGAACGACTTCTTCGAGTCGACTCAGTTGAACTCAGTGGCGAAGTTGCAGGCCAACTCCATTGTGGAGGAGAAGAATCATTACAGAGGAGTAAGCCAGGGGCGGTGGGGCTTACGTGTCTGGCTTGGGACATTCGACACTGCCATCGAAGCCGCCAAGCTTATGACAGAGCGGCATTCAAGATAAGGAGGGAGGCGGTGGTACCAACAATGTGCTGGTCGTCGTGCCAACAGTTTTGGTTTTGGGTTGGATGGGGGCGGGGTGAGGTGAGATGAGGTGGTTGGAGAAGATAATAGGGTTTTATTTTCTCTTTTTCATGTTAAAATTATGAAGTTACCATTTCCCTTTGTTGATTTGGTCAAAATAATTTTTTGGAGTCAATTAATAGTCAAACTAACGTTTTCCATCCATTCGGACTTGACCTGCGAATTGTTTTTTAGGTTTGATACCGTGGGTGACACAAATCAAAGGTTTGGGCAAAGTCTGCAAAAATTTGAAGGTTTGGTACCGTGGCTGCAATTTTCCCATAAATCAATATTAATTTTTCAATAAACCAAATGAAACAACTTATCTATAATAAAAATATGTTTTAAGTTTATTAGAAAAGTGTTTCAAGTACTTAGATACCAGTTTTACACACTGGATATCGGATTTAAACACTAAATGCCAAATTTACAGCTTAGATACCATATATGCAGAATGGATACCTGATTTACAGCTTGATATCAAATTTTCAGTTTGAATAGCGTATATGCAGTATGCTTAAATACCGTATTTAAACATACTGTTTTTCATATTATAACATATTAAATTATATATATAGCCCCTGTTTGACTCCCATTAATTTCTCATTCTCATTTTTCATTTCAACCACACATTCTCCAAATAAAATAATATTACACATAAATCAAAAAAATTTCGTCAGTTTTCTACCACACATTCTCACATCAATCACTATTCCAAAATTTATATTCTCCTCAAAATTAGATTCAAACACACAATAACAAATTCAATGATTTGTTAATTACAGTAAGAAATAACAAGCAAAAAAAAATAATGAAGAAACAGCAGTAAACTTTAACCCGAGGCCTGTGTTACACACAGTTTCCTTAAAATAAATTCGCCCCCTCATTGTACGTGATTGAAGTATAATTTAAGTGTCTGCCTCCCAAGATACAACAGTAAAACAGTAGAATCTGAGCACCACTAATTTTACTCCGACGAACTGAGTTAGTGCCCGAACAATATCACTAGAAAGACTGAATAGAAACTGAAAAGCAGACAAACTCAAACTGTATGCAGATGAGTTTTCAGATGAAACTCGTGGGTTCAAAACTGGAAAAATCGAGATATATAAAGACTTCGATCTTGTAACTTGTCATTCACATCATGGCAATTACCACAGGAGTTTCAACGGTTTCAAAAAATAAAAAGTCAGTTGAAAAATAAAAATATAGCAAAACATGGACACTCCTAAGGGGCCAATTTTGCTTCTTTCGGTCCGACCTTCGTGTACGCAGGTCGCTTCCGCACACAAGTTCAAGGTCCGAAGCCTATTTCGGTCCATGATTTGCCACTCCTCTGCCGCCCTCGCATGGAGCGAGCCTCTATGCTACACATGATTACACCATTTTAAAGTGTAATCTTTTATAAATTGGTTTTAGTTTTCATCCACTTCCTATGTGGGACAAACATATTTTTTAGTTTCCCACCAACATAAACTTTTTTAAGTGGCACACTTTGAGCTTCAATTTCTCATTCACCCAAGCATCAATTTCGGCAAGTAAATATATGATTTCGATGTACTTACGGAGGAGAACACAAATCAATTTTTATTTTCCAAAATAACCAAACAGATCTCACTCAAAAATTATGTCAAAGTCAGCTATATACTCATTTAAACATATTTTACAGCTCGACACATGACATGAAGAGTCATTTTTTTCCCCTGTACAAACAACAGCAAATTTGAAATCTATAGACTGCATGCTGCATAAGAAAACAAGTACATGACTATTTGTGTTTTGAAAAATCAAACTGAAGATTATGTTATCAACTGGAACAAATAATTTGGACATTAATTACTAAACGAACACTATTGCTTCTCACCGAGAATTAAGAGGAATAGAACGAGGATAAAAACATAAATCCTAGACACTTAATATCTGGTCATGAAATCAAGAATTAAAGGCAATTGTTCAACCATAAACTATACCCTTGTTTGAGCTATATTCTTTTAAAACTTATTTTTCGCTGAAGTCATCGACCACACATTCTCCCAATAAAATAATTTTACAGTAAACTCATAACTTTTGCATACTTTTTAACCACACATTCTCCAAAAAAAATCACATTTTACGAAATCTATTCTCAAAAAATGAGGCTAAAAAGGGGGCTATATTGAATATTAATGACTCACAATCTGTGTTGTGTATGGAAATTATACATCCAACTTGTCTTCCTTAGCCCTGTGATTTGGAGGAAGAATATGGAATTCTTCTATCATACGAATGCACTCTTGAACTGACTTGACCAGTCTCGAATCACTAAAATGGACCCGACACATGTCGTGCACTGATGGTAGATACAGCTAAGTGTCGTATCCACCAGCAAGGTGACTTTGACCTGTTTTAACTGTGACATACTTCTATAAAAATTTTGACATAGTTTTCCTTGTATTATGAACTAAAATCACCTGAACAATAATCGATATTCTCAAACCAACACATATAATTTAAAACAAGGTACACCATCCCCTCAAAACTCAAACTATTCAAAATACAATACTGTGAAGTCAATCTTTACTAATATTTTAAAAATAAAAGTCCCAAATATACTCAAAATACCCGATATGCAGTGAGCCCGTGATATGGATACATGAATTACAGTTTAACTTTTCTAACAAAACATACGTGTGTCCCAAAAGAAATATGAACTATGTAAATTGACAAAATAAGTCATATGATTAATGACAAAGTGTGGCTCAACTCGATGGATCAACAAGCTCCAATGCTGCTCAATTCAGCTACTATCTGATAAGGAAAGAGTTAACAAAATATATGAGCTTGTAACTTAGTGAGTGGATAGTTTGCATATAAGTATATTTTTCCTGTTTATACATAATTACTATAAAGTTTCCTTTACTCTTATAATTTTAAGAAATTCAGACGTTTGGTACTAACTTTTAAAATTGAAACATGATAGAATCATAAAATCCTTTGTTCTTTATTCGAAATAACCAACTGTAAAGTATAACCAATATGGATAATCTGATATCTATGAGAATCTATGAAATACTGTAGTTACTCAATACCATAAGTTGAAATCTTTATTCAGCGAACTGAATAAATTTAATTCTATAATATGAAATCTGATAAGTTGTAGTAATACTAAAAAATCACACCAAAAAGGTACACAAAATAACAATACTCATGCATCGATTAATACTGATATACATGGCAAAGTTATTAAATTCTAAAATTTTCTAATTCTGGACTTCTGTAATTCTAGTCATACGCACGTAGAGCTGCCTGAACACTATGATCTAGTCATACACTATGAAAACACATTAACAATAGTGTAGAGCGGGTAAAATCATCATAAGTGTCATACACTGGTATGTACTGTCGCAGGCACCCAAAAGTAATACCTTAACTTCTAAAACTAATGTAGTAATGGAAGTTAGGGTCTTTGCCACAAAGAGTATGTAATTCAATATTTTATACTTCATACAATGATTGGAGGGTTTTTGTATGCAAACAATTGTAAATAACGCAATTCATGAATATGAAAATGAAATTAACGAAAACAATCAAAAGACTAATATTGGTCCATTGGGATGAATTCCTATTTCTCCTTAATTTTAGTTAGTTAGAAACCAGAGTTCTAATTAACCCTAATTATTAAATAATCTCAAACCAGCACTCAAATTCAATTTAATAACATCTTTACACAATAGTGAAATCGATGAACTAGATAACACAAAGACCAACGGTTGCATTCAATCTCTTTAAACATTCTTCTTAAGATTCAATAATCTCTATTGCAGAAAATATCAAATCCTAGTGCTTCTGTAGCGACCGAGAACTTTTAAATGATATAAAATTATTTCTCGAAAAACTGTTGCTAAACTTTAACCCTAATTTTAAAGAGCTAGTGCGTTCGTCTAGCCGTTATAAATGAATTTAAATTGTTTCGAAT